GGATTCAAGTTGGTACGAAAACAATTAACTTAACATCTTATTTTTGGCCTCGATTTGTGGAGCGTGACAGCCTTTGACGTTAGTATGTGAAATTTGAGATTATAATAAGATGAAGTGATACATTTTTTTTAAAATATTTAAAATTCAAATTAGATTAATATAAATAAATAAATCTTTATAATTAAAAACTAATATATTAAAATTCAAATTATTTTTAATGAACATGTAAAATTATTATGTTTTAGTTTATCGAAGACATTAATTATTAGTACTGACCGCAACAAACTGCCATTAAGCATAAAGATGTGTGCCTTTGACAGATGAAAGAAAGTAGGATAAATTACGTATTTAGTACTTAATCTATGAGTTTTGATCCGTTTTAGTATTTAAACTTTCATTTATTTCAAAATCATGTCTAATATTTAGTTTGTATTTTATTTTAGTACGTTAAAAACTTAACGAACGAGATAACATGACATAGCTTTGGTAGACGGATGACCAACCTAAACAGTGGACTATGAGAGAATGTCGAGCTAACCAACATAATCAAATTTCAGGCTCATCAGACGATGGATCCAAACGCCTCGCATAAAGAAAGGATTAACATCCTGACTTTTTCACCTTTTTTGTTCCGCTATAGGATCAATTCCTTCTCTTTAATGCGCGTGGGGGAAGAACATCATAGGTAAATAAATAACCTCCCATGCTTGTAGGACTATGCTTGTAGGTTCAGCAAACGGGTGCTAAGGATGGAAAATACACGGTATATCAACAATTCCTCCTATGCTTTACGTTCTAGAAAGAATCTAGTGTGACCTCATGCCAAGAAGCAGAGGATGAAGAAATCGAGGAGTCCATCATTGAGTTGGAAAGATTGAGGTGTTTTTCAGTGAAATGGAGGTCAGAATCGCATTTAGAGAGTCGAAAAGGTACAAGTTGAAATGTTTAGGCTTCATCGGCCAACGAATGCGGCGGCCTACGAGCCCGTCCATTAAATTTTTAACGGCGAGAAACTAAAATAAAATAAAAATAAATGTTAAATCTGGTTTTAAAAAATAATAATTTACATACTAAAATGAACTTAAATTAATAATTTATGTATTAAACGAGTAGGCCATTACTCACATGTTTAATATGGTCACCGACTTCATATTTTTTCTGTCGATATTTAATATGATTATGTGTGGAAGATTTTTAATATGTCCAACAAATGATTAAATACAAAAAATTCAGAGATTAAGAAAATACATACTAGGGATGTGCATGGGTCGGGTTTGGGTCGATTTTCGGTCAATCCGATTTGTTCCGAAAATTTTACATCTTTTACCTTATTTGACTAGACCCGAAAAATATACCCTCTACCTGACCCATACTCGACCTAATTTTTTAGATAAAATCTGAATCCGATATGATCTGACCTAAAATAATAATAAAAATATTATTTTTATTCAATAAAAACAGTGATTTAATTATAAAAATAATATATAAAAATATTATTATAATTATTCCTAAATATATAATAAAAATTTATTTTTTTGATAAGGTCAAATATTTTTCATCTTAAACCCTAATATGACCCGATCAAATTGTATTGGATCAAAATCTGTCATATCCCATTCCCTACTACAGACTCAGCTTTCAATGATGGTTTAAGTTTTAATTAAAGTCAAATTACGCCACAAATTGAAAAGGAACTCTATAGATGGATAAGAAGGATATGTTTGGTTGGGCCTACCCAAGCTTAGATAAGATTACACTAAACTCCTCCAATTTGTAGTATGTTTTTGTTGTGTCATCCAACAATAATAGGAAAAATACTTAGATATAACTGAATATTTTCTTTTGAACATTTATATTATTAAATATTTAATTTTGTCATTTATTACATTAAATTTTAATTTTATATTTAATTATATCATTCCACTATTTAATCAATAACAAGATGATGATATGATTAATAGTTACGGGTATAATTTGTCACACCAAAATAATGTCATTTTAATATGATTGTACACATTGAACTTTAAGAGTATATTGATTTTGCTTCTAATTTTTTTAAACAAATTTCTTTTTTAGCACTGCATTTTACGATCGTCGTTGTTAGCCGAACACCGCTGATCATCGATCATATTTCACGATAAGATTAGTACCAAAACATTCGTATTTCATCTCTTTTTTTAAATTAATTTTTTTACGAAAACCACTAAACATCTTTTTTAAAAAATCAAGATATTTTGGCATAAATTTTTTAAAAAATATCACAAGTTTTTGCATAAATTAAAAAAAATTAATGATTGAAAAATAAATTTCAAATTTAATAATTAGGTTGAAATATTTATAATTTAGTGATTAAAATTTAAAAGTTTTATGCTTTTCATAGTCTCTCACCTTTGTATTCACTGAAAATTTTAAAATATAAATTTTGCTTTTCTTTCATAATCTTGGTTTTAAAATATAAGATTTCCGATTTAATCCCGAAATAAAATTAGACGAGTAGAAATGGATAAGAGAGCTTTGGGGACATGATAAATCCAGCCGTTGGCTGCAACAAAAGGCGTTTGTAAACCATAATATTAATCAACACACATGAGGGTGTTGAAGAATCTTGGTGTAGTCCCAGCATCGATGACATGGGTCAATAGAGACGGACATAACATCTTATGTTATGAGATAAAATTTTAGAATAGATTATAAAATTTCAAGGAGTAAATATAAATTAAAAATTAAAAATATAAAGAAAATATATAAATTATATATTAATTTAATTTTTTTTGTAAATTATGTGTTTAATACTTAAACTATCTATTTTGGTTTATTTTAGTACCTAAACTTTTAATCTTTTCAAAATCATAGCTAACATTTAGTTTTTGTTCTATTTTAGTATCTCGTTATTGAAAACTTAACGAATGGGTTCGCTGACCACCACGTCTACAGTTTCCAGCCATCGTATCTGTTGGCCGATGAAGCCCAAACCTTTTAGCCCACACCTTTTTGGCCCACTCAACGTGATTTCGATCTCCATTTCACTGGAAAATGCTTTGATCTCCCCAAATCGACAATGTAATATGAAACTTCTTCATCCTCCGATCTTCCTCGTCAACCCTCTGACGGGTCTAAAACTAGACTATGTTTGTCAACTTGTCATTCTCTCGTGATCAACCCAAAATTGATAATTTATGTACTAAACATATCATTTTCCCTTAAAATTTTCAATAGATCGACTTTCCATCTATCTCTTCATTCATCCCTATACCAAAAAGTGGGGTCTTTGTTGGATGTTAAACGCTATAAACAACGACAACTCATCCTTGTCTCAATCCCATTATGAACATGTTTTGTTACACCATGGTGTTGGACCATCCACTTCGTTTGATGATTTTTATGTTCAATATATAGACTTTAAAATCACATGGATTAATCGAACCATTGTTAGTCAAGGTTAGGTGCTTCTGTTCTCTATCCTTTTCCTTCTGTCAATTTCACAAGGTAAGAGTAACATAGAGAAAATTAATTATTTGAATGGTAAACTACATATTTAGTATCCAAACTATCATTTTTGTTTCATTTTGATCACCCAATTATTTGTTCTTTTTAAAATTATACTTAACATTTAGTTTTGATTTCATTATGGTCACTCACCATTAAAAAATTAAACAATATATCAATATAAGATAATGTCACGTCATTATTGAAAAAATGTTTCATAAATAGTTTTGTTATTTTTTTTATTAATGTGTGACTAAAATGAAACAAAAACGTAATATTAAGTATGATTTTATAAAAAAAAATTGTGCAACCAAAACAAAATAAAAGTGATCGTTTTAGTACTAAATGTGTAGTTTACCCTTATTTAATTAACGTTTTTCATGTGATGGAATTTTCTTATTTACTCACTAACTTTAGTTTTGCTCTATTTTAGTCATTGAATTTTTTAATTAATTTTTTTGACCCAATTAATATAAAAATAATATGATTAAATTATAAATACTAAAAATAATCAAATTAAAAAACGTATACTAATTTTATAATTTATATATAATACAAAAATAAAAATCAGAGTATAATTAAAGAAAATTAACAATTATTGTCTAAATCATAATCAAATTTGAAAATTTAACAAAATAAGTAAAGACATAAGAGTTTTGAGTTTTTAACGGTAAATCAAGATTTGCCTTTCCTATATTAAAACAGCAACAATTGTAGCGATACTTTTATAATCTGAAATGTTTATGATTAGTAGCAGGGTAGAGCAAATTTGAATTTGATTCGATTAAAATTCGGTTCAGGTTTATGCGATTCAAATTCAACTCGAAATCTTAACGAGTTGAGTCGAGCAAAGTCCAACTCGAATAAGTTCACGAGCAATTCACTATTTTTCTATAGTTTTTTTAATACATTGTAATTTGGTGACCGCAAACAACACTGGATGGAGTGAAGAGATGTTGATTTCTTTATTTTTAGAATTGATATGTATTGCTTAATTTTTTTCAAAAATATTTTCAATATGTTAATTTGATTTATTTGTGAATTGTCATTTTAGAGTTTAGATTTTGAAATTGTTTCATATACTCTTTAATAAATTTTTGGTTAAGTTTGTTAATTTATTTTTATATTAAGCTATATATATAATATTAGTAGATTTTACTTATAGTAAAAAAATAAGGTAAAAATTTTGGTAAGCTTAACGAGCAATTAATCGAGGAACGAGTCAAGTTGGGTAACAAATTTTTTTAACAAGCACGAGTCGAATAAAATTTTAACGAACTTAACAAGAACAACAAAATTTTTTAACGAACATAAATAGAACACTATCCAACTCACAACTAACTCACTCAATAATCCCTCTAATTATTACAAACGAGACCACAGTGGCCTATTCCGTAATTTACCTACCATAACGGTACATAAATCACGGGATTAGTATAAAATAAATAAATAATACAATTGCCACGTCCTCCTCCTCCATCCTTTCACCTTTCTCCATATAAGTATGATAAAAAAATCTTTTTTAGTTGTTAAAAGTCCAGGTACTTTAGATTGTAGCTTGGATTGAAGAACATAAGTCAAATCTAAGGATCAACAACACTCACTCTCTTCTTCCTTTTGGTGGGTTTTCTGAGAATCGCATGATGGGAAGATTAACGGAAAAGTTTCAGGCTTTTGTGAACAATCGATGGCTGGTTTTTGTGGCTGCAATGTGGATTCAATCTTGTGCTGGGATTGGGTATATATTCGGTAGCATATCACCTGTGATCAAGACTTCTTTGAATTATAACCAAAGGCAGCTTTCAAAGTTGGGAGTGGCCAAAGATCTTGGAGACAGTGTTGGGTTCCTTGCTGGGAGATTATCTGAGATACTGCCTCTATGGGGTGCCTTGCTTGTTGGTGCTTTGCAGAACCTTATTGGTTATGGTTGGGTTTGGTTGATTGCTACTGGAAGAGCTCCTGTTTTGCCTTTGTGGGCTGTGAGTATCAATTTTAAAACTCTACTTTTAGTACTTTTAAGACGAAGATTGATGAAATCCGAGGGCCTTTTTGTTGTTGTGTTGATTGATCTTTATTTGGATTGGATTATTTTGATTGCTTGATTGAATTCAATCACCCTGTAAAGTCTTTTTCAGTTCTTTTGTTTCCCTTTTGTTGGAAATGATTTGATTCTCTGTTTCTTCTTCTTTTTGAGCAGTTTGGTTCACACAGTAAACTTTTTAGTCAACATGAACAGTAACCGTTATTTTGTGACGAATTTTATCATTTTAAGATTTGGGTGATTCATTTTTAAATGATTGGAGGAAAAATATTTAAAATTTTGATAAATATGTGAAAACAAGAAGCATAAGTTATGAGAAAAGAAATCAAAGTACTATCTGATGTGGATTTGATGGGGTTAAATTCTGCATATGAATACTGTTCAACTATGTATTTATGTATTTATTTATACATGCATTGCATTTTATCTATATTTTTAATTTTCTGACTGCCGTCTTCCACGGATGTTACCCTCAACCTGACGTTGGTGGCAGCCTACTACCCTAATTTCCCTTATATGGGAATTGGGTTTTGTTGTTGTTGTTGAGGTGGTAAATTAAGGTGGTTGATTGATGGATTCCATGTCTAACCGAAATCATTTCGCTTAGAACAAAAGGGTTTGTATCTTGATAAACTTCTAATAATACATGCAGCATTTCAAGTTAGATCGTTGACCCTTCTTGTTATGCAGATGTGTATCTTAATATTTGTGGGAAACAACGGTGAAACCTACTTCAATACAGCTGCTCTGGTTTCTTGTGTGCAAAACTTCCCCAAAAGTAGGGGTCCGGTGGTCGGGATACTCAAGGGCTTTGCTGGTTTGAGTGGTGCAATTTTGACTCAGATATACACAATGATCAATTTCCCGGATCAAGCATCTTTAATATTCATGGTTGCTGTTGGGCCAGCAATGGTAGTTGTTGCTCTAATGTTCATTATCAGACCTGTTGGAGGTCACAGACAAGTCCGTCCCTCCGATGGTTTGAGTTTTTCATTTATTTATAGTGTGTGCCTCCTATTGGCTGCTTACTTGATGGGAGTCATGCTTCTGGAAGATCTTGTTAGCGTGAGCCACACTTTAGTAATAGTTTTTACAGTGATTTTATTCTTTCTTCTTATCATTCCTATTGTTATTCCTATTATATTGAGTGTCTCGGACGAGCCTGTCGGTCCAGTGGAAGAAGCTCTTCTACCAAAGCCAGAGCAACAAGAAGCCGGGAAATCTGAACAGGGTGTTCAGGAACAGGAAGTGATATTCAGTGAGGTGGAAGATGAGAAACCTCAAGAAGTAGACTTGCTTCCGGCATCGGAAAGGCAAAAAAGAATAGCTCAGTTGCAAGCAAAACTTTTCCAGGCCGCTGCTGAAGGAGCAGTAAGGGTGAAGAGAAGGAGAGGTCCTCATAGAGGGGAGGACTTTACCATGACGCAGGCTTTGATCAAAGCAGACTTTTGGCTTATCTTTTTCTCTCTTCTATTAGGTTCAGGATCAGGTTTGACTGTGATAGATAATCTTGGTCAGATGAGCCAGTCTCTGGGGTATGATAATACTCATATATTTGTATCCATGATTAGCATTTGGAACTTTCTCGGTCGTGTTGGTGGGGGTTACTTCTCGGAGATTGTAGTGAGGTACAGACTGATATCCTTTACACACTGATGCTGGTTGTGTTGGACTTCGATTCAGTAATGTTTTTGACTCATTTTTCTTGTTTGCTTTGATATCACTGTATAGGGATCATGCTTATCCAAGGCCCATAGCCATCGCTGTTGCTCAGCTTGTTATGGCTGTTGGCCATGTCTTCTTTGCTATGGGATGGCCTGGAGCAATGTACATTGGTACTTTGTTGATAGGGCTTGGCTACGGTGCCCATTGGGCAATCGTGCCAGCTGCCGCCTCCGAGTTGTTTGGCTTGAAAAAGTTTGGGGCTTTATACAATTTCCTCACGCTGGCAAATCCTGCAGGTTCACTTGTCTTCTCAGGTATAATTGCTAGCAGTATTTACGACCGTGAAGCGGAGAAGCAAGCTCATCAACATAATGTCCAGTCGCAGATTTCAGGCTTAAGTTTTTCAGGGTTGTTTGGTCAGGATGAACCACTTAAGTGTGAAGGTTCTATATGCTTCTTTCTTACTTCCATGATCATGTCAGGATTTTGTATCGTTGCAGCTGTTTTAAGCGTAATACTTGTGTACCGTACGAAGACCGTTTACGCCAACCTTTATGGAAAGTCTCGCACTTGAGTTCAAGAATGCTATCTGAGAGGGTCTCTCAAGGATATTTCATCGATTTTAAGTGAGATTTCTTTTTCGTGAAAACCGAGATTGTGTTGAGTTTTCACTAAGTTTGTGATAACAGTGTTGTTGTAAAGATGGTAGTGGGGGAATCTGGTTCAATGATACCATTTACCTGTGAAAGATTCTGCCTTGAATGTTCAAGTGGTGTAATTCAGTTGTTTGTACTCTGTTTGATTTTGATGATGCATGTTATTACCACTTTTTAACCCCTGGAGGTTTTGATTATAATTTTAGGCTCTGGCGGATTTCCGGCTACCCTTAATGCGTCTGAAATAAGGCCGTCGTGACGTCCGAAATCTATTTCGAATTAAGGACCTCCAACCTGACCATGAAGGACAGCATCCAAGATATGAGATTTCCAGTCTATACTATGTTAGTAATTAGTGCAAAGAATCTTATCAGATTAATTTTAAAATTAATCGTCCCCCTTCTTAATTCTTATAGTACCCTTTTTTTGGGTAAATTATGCGTTTAGTACCTAAATTATCAGTTTTGATCCGTTTTTGTACTTACACTTTTAATTTTTTTTAAATCATACCTAACGTTTAGTTTTATTTCATTTTAGTATCTCACCATCAAAAACTTAACATACGGGCTGATGGGGCATAGCTCCAATGGACGGACGACCAATAAGAATGGTGAACCACGAGAGAATGACGAGTCGACCAACATAGTCCAGTTTCTGGCCCATCGGAGGAGATCGGAGGATGAAGAAGTCGAAGAGTCCATCGTCACTTTAGCGAGATTGAGACATTTTTCGATGAAACAAAGGCCGAAATCACATTCAGGGGGTCGAAAAGGTGCGGCTGAAAAATTTGGGCTTCAAGATCGACAGATGCGATTACCGATGACTGTAGACGCGACGGTCGATGAGTCTGTCTGTTAATTAAGTTTTTAATGGTGGGTACTAAAATGAAACTAAAACTAAACATTAAGTATGGTTTTGAAAAAAATAATTGTTTAGGTACTAAAACAAACTAAAACTGATAGTTTAAGTATTAAATGCATAATTTACCCTTATTTTTTCACACTGAAATAATTTTTTTCTTAAAAAAAAAATCATTGTCCATCGAGTTTCATCTTCCCTCACTCGTGTACTTAAATGTAAAAGTATCGTCTTAACTTTAAGAGTGACGTCCATTTTATGATTACATCGATATGAGCAAAAATCACTTTTAAGTCAATAATTTTTAAAATGACAAAATAAATTGATTAATTTCTTAAATTTTATTTAATTATTTTTTCATAATTATTAGTAATATTTAATTTTACCAACAATTTAAAAACGAATTTATATTAATGTGAAAGGATCGTCATTTATGTTCGAACTTAGTACAGAAATTAAGATGGAAAAATACTGGTCCTATGTTTGGATTGCATAAAAAACAAGGGAAAGGAAAAAATAATTTTTTTCTGTTTATATTACTTAATTATTTTTTATTTTAAGATCATACTTAATGTTATATTTTGGTTTCATTTTGGTCACAAACCGTTAAAAAACTAACAGTGATACTAATGTGTCACCGTAAGATAATGTCACAATCATCATTGATTTTTTTTAAATGTCATATCAATAGTTCTGTGAATTTTTTAACGACGAGAGATTAAGATAAAACCAAAACACAACTTAGATATGCTTTTGAAAAATAATAATTGAGTGACCAAAACAGAATAAAAATGATAGCTGAATACTAAACATGTAGTTTACCCTTTTTTTCTTATAAAAGCAATGGAAGAGGTAGGGGAAGGAAAGAAAAGTGGAAAAGAAAATTTTAAAAGAGTCGTTAAATATTAGGCAAAAACCAAGCATTTTATGATCATAACCTACACTCATGAGTGTACATTAGGCAAAAGATTGTCTACTGCTGGGATGACAAGCATGCATGCAGGGATGATATGACATTAGTTTGATAAGAACATCAAAACACCAATTGCAGCCTGCAGGAGCACATTGAAGATACTAATTTTTTACCCACATTATTATTATTATTATTATTATTATTATTATTATTATTATTATTATTATTATTATTATTATCATTATTATTATTATTATTATTAAATATATATTAAATAAATCTATATAAATAAATAATTACAGACCAATTACAACTGGACCGGCCCAGTTACAAACAAACCAGAACCGGTCCAGATTAAACCAGAAACCCTAAACATATGGGGTTCCAGTTAGGGTTTCCTAACCCTAATTTCCTCATCCGCCATCTTCAATTCCAGCCGTTGGATCTGGTTTGATCCAACGGTCCACAGTTTGCCAGAGGAAACCCTAGGGTATCTATACCCTAGGGACACGTCCCAGCGCCGCCGCTGCTGCTTCCAGAAGCCTTCACCGCCACACCAACGTTCCAGCCTCCACCACGTCTACCAAAGAGTCCAGAAGGCCGGCCGTAGCCGCACACGTCTCCCCCAAACGGTGAGTCACCACTGGGAGTCCGGTGACTCACCAAAGGGCATTCTTCGGACCGGTCTGAGACGAACACCGGTGATGGCTATAAAGCCATCACCCCATCTGCAAGCAAAAAAAAAACGGAGAAGGAAGACAGAAAAAAAAAAACAGAGAAAGAAAAAAAAACTACTAAACCAACGATCTCAGTCAAACATCAAGCAACCAAAAACAGAAGGAAAAGGAAGGAAAGAAACTTACCGAAGAAGCCTCGACCACCGGATCTCGTCAGAACCTTCGAAATACCAAAGGTATTTTTGTAGATTCGCTCCGATTAGGAGCTTTTTAAGGGAAAAGAACACCGGGACCGTCCTTAGGACGGTCTGATCTATCTATTAGGGTGAAAATAAATTTTTCCGGCCACCAAATGCGGTGGCCGGCGGTTGCATTCACGGCGGCACACGGTGGCCGACCGGTGACCGACTTCCCTCCGATGAGGGAAGCTAGAGAGAAGGCAGAGAGAAATTTGTTCTCTCTCAGTTAGAGAGAGAACAGAAATGATGAAATGAAGCTGGCCCTTCGGGCCAGCCGGTTTGGACCTTTTATAGTCCTTCCCGAACGACGTCGTTTCGGGAAGGACTATGCGCGTAATTATAAAATAGTTAAACCCCATCCGCAGTCCTCTGAACTTGTAAACTTTACATTTTAGTCACTAAATTTGAATTTATAATAATTTTAATTTGATCTCGAAATTTTATTTTTATTCATTTTAGTCTTTTATATTAAAATAATATATTTAGGATAAATAACAGATTTAATCCCTTAATTTTAATAAATAATATTTTAATCCTTAGTTTATATTTTTAATTTATTTTATTATAATATCCGAATTTTAAATGATTTTATTTTAGTCACTAAATTATTAAATAAGAAAATAACATATTTAATCCCTATAATTTTGATTAATTATGAATTAGATTTTTAATTTTATTTTTACTATAATTTAGTCAGTTATTTTATATGTTTTCATTTATTTTATTGTTTTTAAATATATTGTTTTAGTAGTATTTTTATTTTTATTTTATTATATTGTTAAATATTTTTATATATTCATAATATATATATAATAAATAGTAATTTTTAAATATTTATTTTTAATATCGAAGAAAAGGACAGTCTTAATACAACTGGATGTCCTATTCTGATATTTTAAAAATGAAAAGTAAACAATATTATTTAAATTAATCAATATCAAAGAAAAGAGCTGTCTTAAGGCACCTAGAAGTTCTTTTCTGATATTTTTAAATAAATAAATATTTCTTTATATAATTTTGAAATAATAGGATTATAAATTAAATATATTTTTGAATTTTTAAATTTTAATAATAGAGACAATTTATAATTAAAAAGTACCAATTTTGGGCGTTGTAGGGGTGCTAATCCTTCCCTAAACGTAACCGACCACGAATCCTTTTTATTATTAAAAAGAATGAATTTTTGGTTATAAACGCAGATCAGATCATTTTTTAATTGATGTTTTTCTTAAAATTCTTTTAAAAAATAATTTTTAGGTATTCGACCTACCTGATCCAAAAGGCCGATGGCGACTCCCAAATTATTTTCAAAACTATTTATTCACATCAATTTCACCACCAAGTATAATATTTCGTGCCCGGACAAAAACAGGTTACGACAGCTTGGCGACTCCGCTGGGGACCCTGGTCAAACTTTTAAAAATCAATTATAAATTGTCTCTATTAATTAAAAATTAAAATTTATATATATTTAATTTTTAATTTTTTTTCTTTTCAAAATTTTTATATTTACTTATTATTTTCATAATATTTATATGTTTTATTTTATTTGCAATTATTTTATTTCATTATTTATTTTTCTGTCAAAGGTTTGAGCATTTCTCCTCACACACAACACTTGCATTGCATAACATAAAGCTCTATAATTGAGTTGTCCCTTTTAAGTGGGAGTGAAAGCGACGTCTTCATGAGAATGTATTCTCCGTGTCAGACCTAGCAAGTAACTTCCGAGGTTCATATGCTCTATGTCTTCGTGAGAATTTATTCTCCGTGTCAGATATAGAGAAATGTATCCCCTCGAATTGAACTCGATCCACTTTAGTCTGTGATGGACTAGGATTGAGGGTTAGCAACCCAAGGGGGCACTAACAAGGACAATTCGGGTACCTTTATTCTTAGATCTGAAACCCTGCATATAAAAAACCTTAGAAACTCTTCCGATCAGAAATCATGCCGAAATTTTGTCCAAAATAAGTGTATACACAGGAGAAATGAATTCTGTCTTTCCTGTTAATTTATTTATTGATTAAATTACATGTTTATTTAAATTATTTAAATTCAGAAAAGCATGTTTAAATAAAGAATATTTATGTAAATGTTATTATTAAATTTCTTTATTATGTAAACTAATTTATTTTCTTTTTGTGTGTTCTTTATTTTTCTGTTTGCATTACATCATACAAGATAAAAGACATTGATCCTTGTGTTAATTGTCTCATTGGAAAGCCTTCATCTATGGATAAAAAGTGTTCAAATCAAGTAATTCTAAACTCAGAAGTACGACAGTGGGCTGAGGACTTACAAAGACAAGAAGGAGATAGTCTGCAGGATGATTATGTATCTGACTTGGCCAGTTATGCTCCAGTTTCACTAAAAAGAAATGATACGCAAGATTTGCGAAGCATTTGGGAAAGTTGGGATTCAAACAAAAAATTGCAGTTTTATCAGACGTACGGAGACATCCCATATTTGCTCTATGTAGAAGTTGATGATGAATTACTC